AAAAAAGGGAGAGAGAGAGAGAGAAATCCTTAAAACCCACCGAAACAAAGTGCTACGTTCGAACTATAGACGCGTCTCACCTTTTTCAGCAGTCAAAAATCCAAGCGAGTCGACAAAACGATTACCGTCTGCAGATGGGAGAAAGTTTCGGCTTCCAGATCAGCAAGCGGAAAAAAAACCCCGAAGGTGACGTCACTTGACCAGAGTGGTTTCCTAGTCCCTCTCCTCCCTCAATTGGATTCGCCCCCCCCCCAAAAAAAAGCATCACTTCCCGTCTTCTGGTTTTGCATTGGACACAGGTGCGTGCGCACCGCTCAAACAGCGCGATTTATTTAGAGCAGCCGAGCCTTTGATATAAACAAAACCTTTTTTTTTGGGCAGCGGTATCAGTTTTGCTCCAAATCTGAAAAGCAACACCACTCCACGCGTGTTGACAGTTGATGCCATAGGTGCAAGCTGATTTCAGGCCACACATACTTTAAAACAAGTGCGTTGTTGTTGAATTATTTTATTTTAACCATTGGATAGGTAGTAATACTTCTCGAAACTGGGACGAGTGTCTATTCCTTCGTAACGAAAAGTAGAAAAGACAGATAAGTTCTTGTTCAGTAATACTTAGTTGGTCACTACGGAGTTTTGCCTTTTATGCTAAAGGAGTGTGCAGTTTTATGTTATTTCTCAATTCTGCTGACCACTTGGAAGGCTGTGGAATCGTCCTTTTATGCGCAAATCGCCGGGTTTTGCTTTGCGTGGTTCTGAAGGGAAGTGAGCTTTCCCGTCCTCGTGGTTATGTAACTGTAAGTCCCGAAAGCGCTCCGTCAGGTCGTCGTCCCGTGGAAACTGCCTGAGATGGAAACGGGCCCGTCAGTCACATGGATCTGCGGGGTGGGGCTGATATCTGACACCAGCAGGCCGGCTGTCCAGTTCGACTCTCTGGAGAAAATCTGCAGGAGACAGTCGTTTGTGAAGGAGCCACATCCATCCCAGGTCGCTCATTTGGCTTTTAGTAACAATGACCTCAAGAATTCATCCAGCCAAAACGTGCGTAGTTTGTAATCACCTTGTAGGGCTGAAGCAAACACAACACACACGTGAAGCCAGCAAGATTTTTTCCCTAATTTTTCCTGTTATGGCAAACATCATGTTAGAATACATATTTATAAACATAGAACATAATGCGAGCGATGTTAGAATTGTATAATGAACTATAGTAAGGTCTCGTTTAGGATAATGTGTACAACTTTGGTCACCACGTTGTAGAAAAGATATTTGGTGCCGTGTGATCAGACGGGAGAACAGCAAACAGATGCATTCTGGGGCTGAGGGAAATTTCCTTCCTACACTGACAGGCAGAAATAACTGGACCTGTTAGCTGTCAACCCAGTGGACGTCTCCAGAATGAAGTGAAACACGAACCACAGGGCACAAGGGGAAACTGTGTGGAAGTGTATTTAATCCTGAGAACAGGTCTTTACCCAAAGGGTGGTGGGAGTGTGAAACAGGTTACCTAGCCATGCTGTCGAAAACCAGTACCCTGGTTTGGCTCACATGACAGCTGCATGAGATCTTTGGATTAATTAGCTAACTGCTGAACCCAGCTAGAGGGGGCTGACTGGACTCCTGTGTGTCATTGCCCTTGTGACTAGTGGGTGAGGCATATCTGCAGATTACTCCTTTTAACAGCTGTTCACTACTGCTGGTAATAACTTACAAATTACACCACATGTTAAACCCTTCCTGCTGGTTGTGGAGATTGGTGCTTTAGATTGGCATGAAAATGAACAATGGGTTTGAATATTTTTTCTACTGACTGTGACAGTATGTTAATAGTGCTGTTAAGATTGATACTCAGTTATTTCTTCTGTTGAGGTCTATTGCAAAGTGCTAAAAGCATGTTGTGAGGGTTTTCACCATGAAGAACCTTCCCTATGAACTACACACTGCCTGAACTCAAAACGGTGTCCAGTCTTTCTTCAAAGACCTCTGTTCTTGAGACGCAGCTTTAGGAACCTTTGAGCCCAAGTCTGTGAATGGTTACGCACATACAATGTTCCTCTTTGACAGTCATTAGCAGGAAGGGGCATGCCCCAGATCACAAAAAGAGAACTAAGTTAGTCACAGGAAGTGACTTCTCTCAAACGGTCATGTAAGTGGAAATGGGCCACTGGTTTCAGGGATGTGATGTAACTGATCCTTTGCTCACTCACAAGCCCATGCTTGCTGACCCCATGCCCCTGCTCTGGAGTGAGGGATCTCCTCTTCCCAGACCTACATTGACCAGCTCTTGTTGTCACACATTTTTGTTGCCAGCAGCAATATCACCCTGCAACTCATAACTGGCAGCCCACTGAAGCTCAGCAGTGTGAGCCTGGTCAGTACCTGGATGGGAGACCTCCTGGGAAAGACTAAGGTTGCTGCTGGAAGAGGTGTTAGTGGGACCTGTAGGGGGCGCTCACCCTGCAGTCGGTCTGGGTCCTAATGCCCCAGTATAGAGATGGATATTATACTCTAAAAAAGTGCTGTCCTTTGGTTGAGATGTAAAACCAAGGTCCTGACTCTCTGTGGTCATTAAAAATCCCAGGGCATCTCTCAAAAAGAGTAGGGGTGTAACCTCTGTCTCCTGGCCAAATTTCCCATTGGCCCTTACCAATCATGGCTTCCTAATAATCCCAATCTATGATCTGGCTTCATCACTCTGCTCCCCTCCCACTGAGAGCTGGTGTGTGGGGAGAGAACTGGTGCACTATGGCTGCCGTCGCATCATCCAGGTAGGGCTGCACACTGGGGGTGGTGGAGGGGATCCCCATTACCTGTAAAGCACTTTGAGTGGAGTGTCCAGAAAAGTGCTATATAAGTGTTAGCAATTATTATTATTATTATTATTATTATTATTATTATTATTATTATTATCGTTAGAGGAGTTAGTTGTTTCTACCTTGGAGTGAGTGAATATTATTACCTCTTTTGTCAGGCTAGTTGATCCCCGTTTCGGACTTGGGTGTAGGCGTGTCAGCACAGTGGGGAGTGTTCTGCTCTGGGGTCCCCTGGTTATAACAAAGCTTTAGAATTGCATTCATGAGCATGATGGCCACAGCCAGCAGTGAATGAATGAACACCCTCCCTCCCTTAGGCTTTGCTCAGTTGCTCGATATTCCCAGGACTACATCTCTGGCTCTTTGGCACAGTGCTTTTTTTTGTCTCTGCTCCATCGGAGCTCCACGGAATTCCCTTCCTCTGACTCTTGAAATCTAAACTCAAAACTCACCTTTTTACTCGGGCCGATGTCTGATCGGTCTATATGATAACCTGTATGTTCTTGTTTCATTTTTTCTTTGACTTTTATTGTGATTTTTGTTTTTTTCTTCATTACTATGTGCTACAACCTTGGGTTTGGAAAGGCGCTTTATAAATAAAAGTTGTTATTATTATTCATAGGGAAAGAAAGAACACTACTTAGACTCCTTTTCCTTTCACATCTTAATATTTGCTTTCACCAGCACTGCTCCCTCACACCTTTTCCCAAAAAGCCAGTTGACTTACTGTACCAGTATGCCTTTGGACTGTGAGAGGAAACAGGAGCACACAGGGGAAGCCCTGGTTCACTGGCTTCAGCTTTGCACTTCATGCAGGTTTTACAACTTGCTTTCAAAAGGTGGAGAGGCATCAACCCTGTACTGGTTTCTGAGTTTCTGAACTGCCCTCACGCAGCTGAGGAAGTTGAAATGTGACCAACTGGACCTCTGCAGAAGGACAAAGCCAACACACCCATGTCCTTCACTATACCGTCACTGTGTCTGCCCACCATAAATCAACCCCTTGTTATTACTCGTCAAAAAAGAGAAGAAACTCTTAGTATAGAAACTGAGGGTAGATTGCATTATAGATTGATTTGATAGATTGATATGATCGATTGATTGATACGACAGATTGCATGATAGATTCATATGATCGTTTGCAGCTCTGTGTGAAGTTGCTGCAGAAGTAGAGTCTTTTTGAAAGCAGGGACCGAGTGCAGGAAGAGTTCAGAGTCTGTACAAGTGGATCAGTTAAGGCCGTCACTTAATTACCTGTCATCACTGGTTTAAAACACTTTAGATTGCTTGTTTCCTTGAGTCGCACTTCCAAGTGTTTGTCTGGAGCCACTGGAAAGATGAAGCTTTACCTCCCTCTTGTGGCACTACCAGTACATTACATTTTTCCTCCAGCCACCTCTGTCTCCTCTCTCTAAAACAAGTGACATCTCTGCATCTGCAAAATCTTCTGATTTTTAAAGTTATTCTGAACTATCTCTAAGGAGATCACTGAGAATGGACAGAACCGTTTCTCATGAGACCTCTTAAATGTTCCTCAAACAATTTTGTCTCTCTCCTACTGTTAAAAATATTTTCTCTTCTCCAAGTATAATAAGCTGACCTACAGTAAATGTTTATCCTTAGGTATGACAGGCTATGCATCTTTTACATTTTCAATAAGCACATTTATTAGAACAGCCCACTGCCTCTGTAGCTGAGTTATTGTGGATGTGCAATTAAATGCCCGTAACTGGAAATTTAGATTGGGTTGCTTTATTGATGACATACGGCAAGTGCAATACATTAAAAACGAAAACAGTAACGCAGGGCTCCAGTCAGAGGACACACGTGGCTTTCTAACTCGGCAGTGCCGGTCGTCGTTAGAAAAACTGTGACCCTCCTCCTGGTGGAAATCTCGAGGGCGCAGTGGACCCCCGAGCTGAGATCCAGTCAAATACGCAGAGTGAATTCTGTTCTCAAATGAACTGGGCTGTCCAAACATTTCACTTCTGTACGAAAGGCCAACCCGCAGGAAGACCAAGGAAAATGCCTTTGGAGGTTTACAGCACCAACTTTCCCTCAGCGTGCAAAGGTCAGATCCCACGATGCAACGTGTGCAGATAAAATGGGCGCCCTACCTCTCCGGCCCCCTGGGCGCACGTCCCTCGCCATTTTGTGTGACGTGACTGTGAGACGGTGGGGGGGCCTGAGCACGTGGGGGACTGCACAAGCCCATAAAAACAGCGACACCCGCGTCCGGGTTGTTCTTCTTTTTGGGCAAGATGTGAACACCCCCACTCGGGTGTGTTACCCCACAAGCCACTGCCTTCTGCCAGCTCTAGCCCCACAAGCCTGCGGGTGGGCACGCCTGACAGCCCAGCAGGACACCGGCATGCGCCTTGGCAGAGG